ACTAAAATTTTTTGAAGATTCCTAAATCACTCAAAAGAGTGTCTCCAAATCTAGCGCTATCAATGATTTTTGTACACCCCAGAAATTCTTTAGGAGTTTGTCCCTTATTTTGTTGCCAGTTCTGTAACAACCGGATTGCTAATGTATTAAGTTTTGTAGGTTTTGCAACTCATTCAATAACTTTCCTCTCACTCAGCACGGCGCACTTGAATTTTACCACAGTGTTGGCTAGGACGTAAGCTACAAGCGCAGCCCCGTTCGGGTGTATGTCAAAAGGCGCGCGTTCCCTCAGCCTTCATTGCCAGACTGCGTCAGTTCTCTGCAAAAGCAAAGTTTCCAGATTGCGAGATTTTTGTCAGTACATCAGAAAGTATAAAAAAGGATAACCAGCTGAAATCCGATAGTATTAAAATAGATTTGAACTTATTTCTTGCTTCTCCCAGTTAGTAAAAACCGATCAATGCGCGTCTTACGACCGTCTTCCGCCCCGTTCTACCAAATTCTGACGTCGCAGTGAGGATTACCGTAAGTGTATGGTATGAAGTCAGAAACTATAAAATTCGACAAATTTGGCTAAAAATTGGCATGCGGTGTTATCCGATATGCTGATCACGAAAGTTGTTGACGTTGCGTGACAAGGGCTTTTTTGTAGGATTACTGTAGGTGTACGATATAGAGTCCCATCCTAAACAAAAAAAGGCTTTGATTCAACAAGTGAATATGATATTCGTTTTTTGGCAGGTCAAAGAATCTCAATACGTAAAGACTCCGGAAATTTTGTGGTTTTGACTCCTTAGTCATTGACGATTGTACACAGCAGCTTTGCCTACAACAACTCTTTCGAAATTGTGACGGCGCCAAATCTCGACTTGCCCCTATATTTTATTTCTTTTTTTGGTGAATAAGTCAACCTCTAGCAACAATCATAACTTATAATAACGAGCTAAGGGTTGTTTACGTTTGTGTGTGTGTGTGTGTGTGTGTGTGTGTGTGTGTGTGTGTGTGTGTGTGTGTGTGTGTGTGTGTGTGTGTGTGTGTGTGTGTCACGAAATTCGTAGAGCGTGTTCCAGCCAACGTCCTGAGCCCAAATTTTGCATAGCGCACGCTACCGGCATTAAAGCTCACTATACAAAGGCATGAGCGGATCCGTTGAGTGGATCCATTAAAAATTGCGCGTCAAACGGATCCACTTGGCTTCTGGCCAGCAAATTTGGGTCCGTAGTACTACTTTTTGCAGAGTTAAGGATATATTTGACAAGCTAATGTGCAAGCCATGGACGTTAGCCTAAAAAAGTAATGAAAAGTCTACTACTCAACGAAAACAGCCAAAAAGCATTCGCTGTGTAAACGGTCAATTTTTCAAGATTTTACCTGATTATTTGAGAAGATTTTTGCACAGAGGTGTAGCCTACTATCTTTATTGTCCTTGCGGCGACTACCAAGCCATAAAAATTCCAAAAGCCTATTCGAATTTGCATCTGTTCTTCTGGGAAAGATTTTATCCGCGCGAAAATACCGATCTCGCATGGGAAACCTCTACGAATGAGCAGTTGTTCACGAATTATTCATGATAGCCTACATAGCGCGGTGAGTTTCAATATCATTATTATCCGGGAATGAGTAAGGCATACAGAAAATAGGGTCAGTGCGAGCCTCTGCGAAGCAGGTGACGCACTGGTTAGCACATAATTCCGGATCATTGCGCATGGTCTAAACTGTTAACAACTTCGTTTTGCCTTAAAACCCCAAAAATTTCAAAATTCACTAGTTTTCGAAAAATGCCTGCAATTTTTCTAACTCGTTTTCAAAATTCGAGCAGTTTTGGTCAATTGTAGCTCACACTACGCTCTACATATTGCTCAAGTTTGAGTGCGCTACATCCTAAGAGAGTTGAGTTGGAAGTAGTTGCAAAACATAGTTTCCGACCCAATAAAGGAGCTTTCAAATAGATTTTCCGAAAGTAGCTTCGCTCTTCGCTCAGTCCTTCTGCCGATTTAATGATTTGTTTACTTACATCAAGAAATTGAAGGCACTGATTCTACCATCCAAAGCGTTACTACGCGTTCTGCCGATCATCAGGAATGAATTGTGAACATACTCATTCCAAAAACATGTTCACACCCAAAGTCAGTAACTTTGGTTGGGGAGATAGTTTTTTACATAATAATTGAGAGTATGAATTAGTCACTGGGGTTATTGAGGCCTGATAGTGGACTTGACAATGACCACCATAATTTTCCATCCCTCAACAACAATCTCCTCAATTTTTTCGGTAAAACCTTGATGAATCGACGGCCTAAGCAATTATTCTTTTAGTCAATTTTCCCAAAACATGGAATTTTTGCTTATTTTCTGATCTGAGGTCCATTTTGGTTTCTATGACTCCAAAACTAGATACCGACCCACTTTTGCGGACCAAAGGCATCTTGATTTGGTTTCATAAGAGTTTTTTGAGGACCCGTGCATTAGATCTTGCTATTGCCTGATAAACCTACGTGCTAGAAGCACGTGTTGTGCATGATTTGGACCCAAGACCTTAGCAGCAACTCGCTTTGTGAATTTCGTGACAGAGAGACGTACAAAAATAGACATTAGAACGTTTTTATTAAGACCTTATAATAACGAGCTAAGAGTTGTTTACGTGTTGTGTGTGTGTCCGTCCGTTACGAAATTCGTAGAGCGTGTTCCAGCCAGCGTTCCAAGCCCAATTTTGCATAGCGCATGCTCCCTTCATGAAAGTCCAACATGCAAAAGCACGAGTAGATTTGTTGAGTGGATCCCTCAGAAATTGCGCGTCAAACGGATCCACCTGGCTTCTGTCAAGCAAAATTAGGTCCGTGTCACCACTTTTTGCAAAGTCGTGGATGTGTTTGGTAAGCAAATGTACAAGCGATCAACCTTAGCCCGAAAAGTGGTCAAAAGTTTACTACATAACGAGAACGGCGTCAAAAAGAATTACTTGCGTAAATGGTCAATTTGCCAAGGTTCTAGCGAAGCATTTAAGAAGATCTTCGCACAGAGATGTAAGCTCACGGTGACTCTTGCCTTTGTAGCCACTACCAAGCCCAAGACAAATTCAAAAACCTATTCAAATTTGCGTTTGTCTTCTTGCGAAAAGTTTCATCCACGCGAAATTACCGATTTCACATGAAGAGCCTTCTAAATAGTTGTTTACATTTTATTCGTGGTAGTCGGCATAGCGCGGTGAGTTCCAGTGCTACGATTTTACGAGAATGAGTAAGGCACATAGATAATAGAGCCAGTGTGAGCCTCTGCGAAGCAGAGGTGACGCACTGGTAGTAGGATATTCATGTAAGCGGGATGGCAAACCTTATTTATATCTACATTTCGCGGTAAGGAGGCGGTATCTCGAAGGGGGCTGTTAGAAAAGAAGATAATTCCAACACGGAAGCTTTGCTGCCAGGACGTAGGAATGAGAAAAGGGTGAGGTTTTACTCGCTTGCGGAATGGTGATTATGTAGCTTTTGTCGAGCGTCCAAAAGGACCGAAAATCCGTCTAGTCTTCTATCTCTTTACAAGGTTATTCTAGACCAGTGCGTCACCTCTGCTTCGCAGAGGCTCGCACTGGCCCTACTTTCTGCATGCCTTACTCATTCCCGCAGTATAATGACATTGAAACTCACCGCACTATGCAGGCTATCACGAATAAATTGAAAATAACTATTCATTCTGAGAGCTTTTTTGTGTAAGATCGGTATTTTCGCGTGGATGAAATCTTTCCGAGAAGAATAAATGCAAATTTGAGTAGGTTTTTGGACTTTTTATGTTCTGGTAGTCGCCATAACGACGATGATCACTGTTGGCTATATCTTGGTGCAAAAATCTTCTCAAATGATCAGGTAAATTCTTTGAAAATTGAAGATTCACGCAACTAATATTTTCGGCGCCATTTTCGTAAAGTGTTCAACTTTAGTTCAGTTTTTCGAGCCAAAGTCTGTGGCTTGAACATTAGTTTGTTAATCATATTCATGACTTCGCAAAAAATGGTGGAACAGGCCCAATTTTGCTGGCCAGAAGCCAAGTGGAGCCAGTGCGCCACCTCTGCTTCGCAGAGGCTCGCACTGGCTCTACTATCTATGTGCCTTACTCATTCTCGTAAAATCGTGGCACTGAAACTCACCGCGCTATGCCGACTACCACGAATAAAATGTAAACAACTTCTCATTTAGAAAACTTTTTCACGTGAGATCGGTGATTTCGTGTGGATGAAAATTTTCGCAGAAAGACAAACGCAAATTTGAATAGGTTTTTGAAGTTGTCATGGCTTGGTAGTCCCCTTAAAGGCAATAGTAACCGTGAGCTACATCTCCGTGCGAAAATCTTTTGAAACGCTTAGCTAGAACCTTAGCAAATTAACCATTTACGCAACCAACTCTTTCTGGCGCCGTTTTCGTTATGTAGCAAACTTTTGACCACTTTGCGGGCTAAATTCCATCGCCTGCACATTTGCTTACCAAACGCATCCACCACTTTGCAAAAAGTGGTGATACGGACCCAATTTTGCGGGATAAAAGCCAGGTGGATCCGTTTGGCGCGCAATTTTTGAGGGAACCACTCAACGAATCTACTCGTGCTTTTGCATATTGGGCTTCTATGAAGGTAGCATGCGCTATGCAAAATTTGGGCTCAAAAAGTTGGCTGGAAACTGCTCTACGAATTTCGTAACAGACACACTCACACACACACACACAAAAACACGTAAACACCCTTAGCCCGTTATTATAAGTTATGATTGAAAACATTCTTGTAAGAGGCAAGAAATGATTTTGAATAACTTGACAGTTTTGTCTACTTCTCTATAAGTGGGAATGCAACGAGTAGCAGTTACTTAATGCGTGATCAAATGTTTTGAGTTGCAATTTTTTGCTTCGCGCATTCACGAAAGCTCAGTGTAGGAAGATGTTCCGAATTTTTCGTACAACTACAAATGTCGTTAGCATTTTCATTTAAAGTACCATAAACTTTAATAAGCATCACACCTTCGGAACCACCGGCTAGCCGCAGGTTGTAGTCATTAGCGGAAGTACAGGAGACGGAATACATGTGCAAGCCAGTTGGTATGGAGGAATCTCATAAAATGAATCCTACACTCAAGTACTTTCAAACTTAGATAACAAGTCTAAAATCATTTTGCTTACAAGGAAAGGTATATGACTCGCAGTGGAGTTTCTCTATGAGAAGTACATCATTCGAAAGGCCTTTGAGTGCCGATTTCAAAACAAACTTTCTTATCTGCTTATCGGGTTTTTGAACAAAGATACAGGTAATTTTCCGCTTCCAGTTTGCATGGTCAGGTACTGTGTGAATGATCTAAATTCGTAATAAATGCGAATTCGGTCCACAGTTACACACCCAAATGTCTGAGATATATTTGTTGTACATAAAAAATTGATGGGAATAGTTTTGGAGTTACTCTGGCGCCTTAGTCCTCCTGCAAAAGCAACCAAAATCAGTGTCATTTGAGGCTAAATAAATGCCTATAACTCTGTTCCATAAATCGATAAGCAGATAAGGAAGTTTGTTTTAAAGTCAGCACTCAAATACCTTTCGAATGATATACCTCTTATAGTGAAACTTTTAGATTTTGTGTGATATGGTAATTTTTATGATGCAGTTATTCAAAGAAACATGATAGATAATCGCCGGCAATTCCTGGCTCATTTTTTAGTGCTACGTCTCTAGATTACAATCTTTCCAGTGCAAAAAATCAGTTCTTTTCGGATACAAGAGTTATGCAGATAGCGGATAAGAAGCCAAAATCTCTTCGAGTAATTGATTTGACCACGTGATTGACCAGCCTTATACCAATTTTATAGGGTAGTGAGATAATTATATCTACAATATGTTACTAAATGTAGCTTTATGGCACTACAGTCATTAAGAAAACTTTCGCACCATAATCTCAAGTGCATCGGCGGTGGAGCAAAGGTGTACGTCTTTCTCATTTGCTTGGAAAGCTTTAGAGGGAATCGAGAAGGTAGCCGAGGGTTGACGAAGCACTTGGTGGAGAAGGCCCAGCTGCTTTATCCGTGTACACTTGGCCCTGTCAATGCACTATGATGAAAGTCACCACCCCTATTTTTGCACAACATTGTCCTATTCCCATCCCACTTCTAGATGCGAGGTCCCTGCTCCCACTTGTTCTCTTGAAGGCGGTGCCCGGCAAATTTTGCATTTCTACCTTTCTGCATGTTTTAGGCCTTTCACACGTAGAACCTGAATATGAGCTTTAAACGGGGTGAAAAAGCCGTTCTGGGGATCCAATTTCCAAGATGCAGCACGAAAGAGTATTTCGATGGAAAGTTGGGAGGTCCCAGCACGAAGACCCAGCTGCCTGTGATTTTCGCTTTGGACAGCATGCACAATGCGGAAGCCGTAGTGGGGTCACACTGAACGGGTAAGCAAAGTCGTCCGAGCGCGCCGGTTCGAGGGCTATTTTCTGGGCGCGGCAAAACACCAACCGCCGGGCTGGGCTTGGAGGATAGTAAGGTGACGAGAAGCCCAATACAACTACATCCCCCAGCGCGCGATTCTGCCGGCATGCCATTAATCAGCATACTTACCTGCCCATCTTTGCCCTTCCAGCCCCGTTGCTCGAATTTTGAGAAAATTGATGAAATCGAAAATAATCGATAACTCGAAAATCAATAACTGTACAGTCGAGCAGATTTCTTGCCAATATAAGTGTCCCTGCAGACGCTTGTGCGTCAACCAATGCTCCTACGAGTTTTTGAGCAATTGATTTCTAGTGTGCCATTATAGGGCAACTGTAACACTGGGAGCTCACAACATGTCGCTTCGAATGTTTATTGCAAGACTGCCAAAGCTTACACCCCGCTGACCCCTGTAGACCCGTACCCGCCCGCTTTACTGCACTGATTGATGGTACCGGTTCGGCCACCTAAACAGCAAATGGCCGAACACTCGGGCCGGGGCAAGGGCAATAATCATAATAACAATGAAACGAATAAATAAAATGCTATCACTAGAGATGTCTCTTCTTCTTGTATTTGGATGTCGTGAATTGCGTCTGTGATGTTGAAGTTGGTGGACTTGCGGTATTTGGCGATAGCGAGTCGGCGTTGAAAGGTCAGTTGGCATTGACGTTGGATAGAATAGTTGTTGATAGAATACAAATAGTTGAATAGGGATGGTGGTGATCCTGCTTCTTCATCGAGGTAATTGGGCCTGTCCTTCATGTGGTGGGTGCCATTCCATGTCTTTCGGCGTTCTTGTCGAGGTCCCTCGCTGGTCGTTGACGAGGGGACGTGCGCGTGAAGACAGGAACCAATTCGTTGCAGGAGATGAGACGAGAATTTGGCGAAGGGTTTGGCGTTTATTACATATCATTTTAAACAATTGCGGTTTCTGCGTATTTTCGCTATCCTTTTCAGAATGTTTTTCTACGCTGCTGGCATCATTAGGTTGCGCAGCTGCTTCTTCATTAGAGGCGACTATGAGTAGATTTTCGTCAAGTTTTCCATCTGCACAGGCCTTGGGCGTACGATATTTTATACAGTAAATGTTGCAATTTTCATTATAATTGTTCGTGAGACCAATTTTGTTTGCCTTGTCTTTTGCTCCACGATTGGTGGGTATTTCGTGTTCAGGTCTTTATTGCCGACGGTCGGCAAGTTTGTTAGATATCATTTGAAACAGTTTTGGTTTCTGGGTGTTCTCGCTGGCCGTTTCAGAATATTTTTCTGATAAGAGGTGGTACTGTTTGCTGCTGGCAGCATTCGGATGCGCCGCTATTTTCTCATTTTGGGCGACTTTGATTGACTTTTCGTCACATTTTACATCAGCGCAGGTCCTTCGCGCATAATTGTTTGAACAATAAGTACTGCACTGTTCATTATTATCTTTCATGAGTGCAATTTTGCTTGCCTCGTCATTTTCTTTAGCACTGGAATCTACAAGATTGTTTCGCTTGGGCTGTTCACCTGTTGTTGGGCAAATGCCGGTGAAAACAGTTTTGCATTTTTTTGCATGTAAAAGCGATGAATTCGCGTATTTCCTTGCGAATATTTGAGCATACATCATCTGTAGCTCCACCAGATGAATGAGTATATCTGCTCCGGAAAGTATGTCATAAAATCCGATCTCTTCTTCAAATGCTACTACCTCACGCGCTATGAACTGTTTCTGTTCATAGCAGTGTGCCATGTAGAAGTCTGATAGTTCATCTACTTGTGATTGTAGAAATTTTGCAAGGACTTTCACTTGCGGAAGGCATGTATTAAGTACATCCAGTCTGCCGAAACATTCTTGATTTTGCTCCCGGCTGCGATTTAGATCAGGAACGAATTCACTTAAATAGCCATAGTGGGTCAAGGAGCTCTTGAGTAATTCTGACAAAGATGAAATTTCTTCTTTGAAGAAGTGAAGAGACATTTTTTTATCGTTGAGGTTTCCTTGGCAACGGATATATTGGTTTTTCACTAAGCCTTGTTCGCTCTTAGCGCGAATGGAGAGTTCCCTTAGGTTATATTATACCAGTGCGTCACCCCTGCTTCGCAGAGGCTCGCACTGGGCCTATTTACTGTATGCCTTACTCATTCCTGCATGATAGTGACATTGAAACTCACCGCGTAATGCAGGCTATCACGAATGATTTGTAAACAGCTATTCATTCTTAGAGCTTTTTTGTGTGATATCGGTATTTTCACGTGGAGGAAACTTTTCTCAGAAGAATAAATGCAAATTTGAATAGGTTTGTGGACTTTTTATGGCTTGGTAGTCGCCATAACGGCAATAATCATCATGGGCTGCATCTCTGTGCAAAAATCTTCTCAAATGATCATGTAAATTCTTGGCAAATTGAACATTTACGCAACTAATTCTTTTTGGCGCCATCTCGTAAAGTAACCAACTTTGGTTGAATTTTTTGGGCTAAAGTCCATGGCTTGTACATCAGCTTGTCAAACATATCCACGACTTTGCAAAAAGTTTATATACGAACCCAATTTTGCTGGTAAGAAGTTAAGTGGACCCGTCTTACGCGCAATTTCTAGGGGATCCACTTATCGGATCCGCTTGTGCTTTTGCACAATGGACTTTTCTGCTGCTAGGATGTGCTATGCAAAATTTGGGCTCTAGAGGTTGGCTGGAACTCTCCCCACGAATTTCGTAACGGACAGACAGACACACACACACACACACACACACACACACACACACACACACACACACACACAAAAAAAAAAAACGTAAACAACCCTTAGCCCGTTATTATAAGTTACTAGTTGGCTTTCCCGGTCCAGCCCGGGCCATTAGTCACCTGCACTGCAAGTCCCCCCCCTTCTTATATGTCGTGGATGACTTACCCTGGAACCCGCTTCGAAACCGCATCCTCGTGATCCTGAGATGAAAATGAGCTTCACCGCCCTTCTTTACAGACTATGGTAAAATGCTTGATTGAACATGATAAACCCTCAATTCCTCAGAAAAACGTAAACAAATCAATAAATCGATAGAAGGACCCAACGAATCGCTGCGAAAAGTAGCCTATCATCTGCGCAGGGGTCGAAAACATATGTGTGCAATGTTTCAGCTGAATCGGTTGAGCGGTGCGCGTTTCTATAACGCACATACCCTCCAAACTGACAATTTTTCAGTTTTATATATATATAGATGATAACCTAATAAGCTGCCATTAAAGCAAAGCACTTGCGTTCAAAATCCACGTAGGATAGAGCGTTATTTGCCGCTGCTTTCGCAGAGCAAGGGTGGCTCAGACCGATGCACCAGAATTGTGGGTACGGGTTCGGCCACCTAAACAGCAAATGGCCGAACATCTAGTGTTTTCTTCGTATATTTTGTTTCTTGGGTAGGTAGTTGATGATAAAGAAGGGAAGTAAGTTAAAGGGTGCTTTCTGTTTTTTGATAATTCTCAGAAAACAATAGCCATTTTCAGGTATGCGTGGCATGTCGCGTCAGTTTCATGCGCATTTTTTTCACTTTCTTTTTCTTCACTTTTTGCCCCTTCTTGTGAAGCACTAACTTAAACGCTAGTAAGTTGCACCGCAGTAACTTCGGCTTTCAGCCAAAAAAGAGAGCTTTTGATCGAGTGGTCGTAAAGACAATGCGTCAAATGTAAAAGTCTACTAGTGTTCAAAGCAATGTTTACAAGAAGAGGCATGAAGTAACAAAAAATTGCACATGAAACTAACGGACGTGCTTACACGCTCAGATATTGAGAGCGGACGAGCCGCGGCCCCAAAAGGCCTTTCCGGCCCGCCCGCGAATGTAAAAACTAAGCTTTGAATTTGATTGTGATTTTTATTTGTGATTTTTTGTGATGTTTTTTATATTCAACTTTTTTGTATATTTTTTGTATTGTATCTTACTAGTAAACTATAAATTTTCTGCTGTCTTGATCGATATATAATACTAGCTGCGGTCCCCGGTCCCGCCCGGGCCGAGAGTCCAGAATGGCCCAGCATAGGGTGTGCTTCAAGATGTATACTTACCAGTCCTCCACTTTCTTCAGTTCACATCTTCTGTGACTCTCCTGCTTCACCTCCTTGTCAGTTCCAGCGCTCGTGTAGTATCCGTGGTGAATAGTCTTCTTTCTTGACCGGCTCGCTTCATGACACCGCATGCTTCTCACCGCAAAATGTAAATGATCTCTACCACCGCTTACTACTTAAGTTGGAGAAATGAATGGTATAGCCTTCATTTTCCTAGATTTTAGTAAACAAAATCAATAAATCGATAAAAGGACTCAGCGAATTGTCGAAAAAAGTAGCCTATCTGATGCGCCGTGTCTCATTTATAGGGGAATAAAATTCAGCCTCTTTGGTTCACATACAAAGGAGTCTATAAGCCACAAACATCCTAACAAACACGGTACAGTGTTTGAGTTTTATATATATATATATATATATATATATATATATATATATATATAGATGTGGCAGTAGCGCGAGCTCTGAGGGAATCGCACGTTAGCGCGATGAGTTGCGAGGCTGCTGCGAAAATCTCTCTGCGAGAGGTTGCGGACGACGAGGCGCTTACGGTAGCTCAGCCGCGACGCTGGTGCCAGCTCTGGCGGCTGGTCGCGCCACTGGCGGCTGCCTGAATAACACTTGCACGCCTCCCCCTGACCATGCCAATTGGAAAGGAGGTCCGAGAAGGCGATACAATCTCGCCGAAGCTGTTCACCGCAGTCTTGCGGTGGGTGATGAAGTCACTGGACTGGGACGAGAAAGGCATACGAGTTGAGGCATTTCCTGTCAAACTTTTGTTGTGCGAACGACACCGTTCTCTTTTCAGTATCAGTGAGCAGAAACGATGCTGGAGGAACTAAACGAAGTAGGGAAAAATCGGATTGCGAATAAATCAGAAGAAGACTCATTTCATGAAGAACGCCCTTTGCGGAAATGCAGAAATAAAATTGGAAGGCATCCTATCACGGAGACGTCTTTTTAAGTGTATCTCGGACATTCAATGAACATGGAAGACGACTCAAGGGAAGAACTTAACAGAAGAAGAAGAGCAGCCTTGGCAGTCTTCGGGCCTCTGGAGGAGGCTACCGACCAGCTGACACCCGGAGCTACGTGCCCATCTGTTCGACTCAACCGTTCTCATGGCGCTCTGTCACGCAGTTGAAACTTGGTCCGACATTGTAGCCACGTCAAAAACTTTTTGGACCACCACAGACATTTGAACGCACTCTTCTGAAGATGACCCGACACAAGCAACATCTCGGACTTCCCAGCACGGGTGTGAGAATGTCGCCTCCGTGACCCAGCGCAATACGTTGCGAAAGCGAAGCATCGATGGGCCGGTCACATTGTGAGAAGATTAGACGACAGATGGACACTGAGAACAAGATGCATGTGGAACGAATGGATCAGCTGAAAAATTAGCTGGATACGATTTCTGCTTCCTGGAACTATGGACGCAGCGTGACAATCAAGAAGATCGTGGATGTCTCAAGTGAGGGACAGAGCACTGAGCTTCTGAGACGAGGACCAGTAACGTGAAGACGGACCATCTAGATATCTATTTATCATGTTGATGATGTGGACAATCTTTATTTTTGCTTATGAAACACGAATTCATAATGGCTCACCCAGTGCGCCGTATATGCTAAGCCGGTCGGAACCAGTTTATAGGGTGACTGTGGCTCCTGCCTTGGTTGACCGACTGCGACCATATAATTATCAGTCCCGCTAAACTGTGAACTTTTGAAAAGACAGCGTTTGTTTTAAAGCGAAGCTTGTTCTAGATTCAGTGTTTGTGCAGATAGACATGTGAATGTTGTGAAGTGACAGAATTCCTTTTAATCGTACGAAATCATTCTTTCCTCCTCTAGACATATAAACGATTAAATGAATAATGCATTGAATGCTCATAATACAGCCGTTATAACATTTTTCAAATCAAAATAAAATTGATAGAAGATACATGCTGACTATAACTGAACCACAGATTATCAAAAACATCTGAATATGTGAGAAAATGCTAAACAATATCACTGGATCATATCACCACGGAGTTATTTCTTACTGTAAATGAGAAATGCTCGAACTAAGCGAAAATGGTCAAGGCATTATATTTTTGGAGATCTCTTGTGCTAGTAATATGAAAACTTGTACTCGAGAAAATGCAGAAGAACCGATTGAAGAAGTTCCTATCAACAGAAATTGTAGATTTAAGAACCATGCAAACTGACTAGTCATTCTCATCAATGGCAGATATTTTTTGTGTTTGCGTATTATTGGTATGTTCAGTTTCCCCAGATTTGAGATTTGATTCGTCCTCCTCCGTTGTCGTTTTTGGCCGAAGAGGCTGGAGCTCTTGTGGTAACGGTTCTTCTTCGCCTTCTACTTGGGCAATAGTTTCAGGCAATGCTGTGCCCATCGTCTCTGGCAAGGCGAAAAGCGTGAGAACGGCTGCTGTGATAGCCATGACTGCGAACGGGATGATCATGTAAACCTTGCCATTCGGTAATTCCGCCTGAAAAGTAATGTGTTCAAGAAAAAAGGGACCTGATAACCATGAATTTAATCTACGCGTGAGAGGGGGGGGGGAGTGGAGGCTTGGTCAGACTTTTTGATTGGAAACTCTCTTACGGTGGGTTACCACGAATTGACCGTAACCCAAGGTTCTACAATGTGTGACCGTCAATGTGATCAATTTCAGAGACTTCTGATTTTGTCTCGCCATAATAACCGGAGGATGGAGGCATTACTATAATTGGGTATGTTGAAAATTATGGAAATTTCTAGTTACCAAAACTTAAGCGAAAGTAAACTCACAATCCATAAGCTGAGGTATGTTGCCGATATCGCTCCAACACGTGCAATCATACTACATAGACCCATTGCTGTGTTTCTGATTACTGTAGGGAAAAGCTCAGGTGTATACGTATACATGGCTGCGTAGGTGCCGGTAATGGCACCTCTGGAGATCATCATTTGTATGATTGAAACTGCTAATGGCACTGAAAGAGGAAAAATTCGGATATAAAGTGTAAAAAAAACCTTACTAACCATTATCTCCCATGAAATAATTTACAAGTAAACAAGCTCCAGCAAGAAAATATCCAAGGCTAGTAACAAAACGACGACCAATTCTGTAAACCTCCATATTTTGGAAGAAGAAAGAAGCCTTTTGGAAGCCAATGCCTATGGTTAGGACTCACCGGTCGAGACCCAAAAAGACTAGTACAAGTGCTGGAATTTCCACTAATGCAGCGAATACGAAATTTATGTACATATCACCTCCCAGTACATTGGGTTTCAAGGCCATACCGTAATAAACCATTGAAACACATGGCCTAAAACGTGTCAAGAAAATCAGACAGGTAAATATCAGAGAATGAGCGCAAATAACCTCAAGAAATTGATAGTCATGACTGAGCGCGGTAAATAAAGTGATAAAAGTCATTGAAGCCGTTTCAATCAGCAAAAAAATCTTCGAACCCACCATAAAAAGAATGCAATCAAAGCTCTCTTCCTCAGCACCGGCGTTTTCAACAAGTCCCAAGCTTTATACTTCTTCACTTCCTTTCCTTTCATTTCAGCATTTTCGGAATCCAGTTGTTCCCACCTCAACAACCCCAACTGATCTTCAATTTCACATGAACTCATGGGTTATCAGCGTACCATTTTTCAGGTAACGTTACTCCGTTGACTTTCGCAGCATGCCGTAAAACTTTGTCTGCTTCCTCATACCTTCTCTGTGTTACTAACCAGCGAGCACTTTCCGGTATCACCCTAAAATTGAGTGATCAAGGAATGAAGTACGAAAAGAAGTTGAAGAAATCAAGACTTACCACCAATAAGTTAAAAATATAAGTCCAGATAAGGTTATGACTGATTGCAAGATCTGATAATGTGTTATAAACATTCCTTCAATACCCAAGATAATCTGAAGGGAAAAGGCCATAAACGGATAAAAAGGTTAAAGACACTTACTTGGCCGACAGCAAAAAGTATACCAGTAATGACAGACGCCAATTTCCTGTATTTTGGACCTACTAGTTCTGTACCGATGACGACAGCAGTAACGAAAATCCCGGGATGTGAGAGACCAAGGAATGTCCTAAATCAGTGATTTTTACTACATTTCTGGATCACAAGTATATCTTGAATAGGATCACACCTCAAGAAGCCAAATGACCACCATGTAGGAGCAACCACACTGAGAAGACCGGCAGTAACTTGTGTGCTTATAGCAAGAATAAGAACTTTCTTGCGTCCAATTCTGGAAATAGTTTTGAATGTGTGAAACCATGGTACCAATCAGATCATACAATAATTTACCAGATTCGAGTGCTACGTGTTGATCCAGTAAAAAAAAGCAAAGCAAGAAAGAGGTAAAAAGAAAAAAGAAAAGTGGGTTCTGACCTGTCTCCAAGCATCCCAAATACGACCGAGCCAATCATTTGTCCAACATAATAAAACAGCTGTACATGGGCACGATTAGAACCACGAGCACAAACGAGATCCCACTAAAATAGTTAGAAATAGATTAGAATAGATAGAAACTGTTTGAAATAGATAGAAACTGCAAGCAAAGTATTGTTTCAAATCTGAGACGTGTCTTCTCACCCGATCCATCGCTGAATATACGATCCTTGATCTGTCGAAAACATGTTCGCTACATGTTTCGCCACCGATTTCGCACTGCTGCTCGTAGTAGCACTGCAAAATACAGCTTTTTAGGAACTGTCGCTTAAATAAACTCCAAAAGGGTCTGACCCTTCGAGGAGCTATGTTCTGGTGTTAGAATTCGGCATGTTAAAATCACTAAACTACAATATGGGCATACGTGTGCAAAGGGGGAACATGGCCTTTCCAGGGTGAAGGGGGTCATAGGGGTCCCGCCTCCCCAGGGTGAAGGGGGTATGAAGGCCGCTGGGGGGGGGGGGGAGCGGCCGCGGCTGTGGAGATGCGTCCACCGGGGGGGGGGGGCAATGTTCGTCATCATTGCTTCTCATGTTCTTTTCATTCACATGCATCAAGTGAAATTGTAGCCAAACCGGGTTAAAGTCGAATATTGGGTTTTATCCGCTGAAATTCGAAGAAGAAAAACTGGAATAAGTGAGACTAAGAAATCAACATTTTAAGCAAAATTATAAAACTATCGGCATCATTAAAATCAAATTTAGTGACATGTTGATTCTGAATATTATTAGGTCGTACCGAAAGTTCTGTCGTTTCATTTTTGAAAAATCATGACTTTGCGCTGTCACAACGGATTTACCACCTTATATTTTTATTAGAAAGTGTAAATCTTTCGTTTTCAAATGCTGTTTTGCGGAGGTCGCGATTCACACTGGGTGCGGAGATAAAAATGGAAAACTAAGACCATATAAGCTTTGACCATTTTAAGTTAGCTCACCAAAAATCTGGAATGCCGCAGAAAAATCTGAAATCTCAGTACATATATTTTTTGGCCTACCCTTGCATCTGTGAAAAGTTTGTGCTGTTTGGACGTCTCTGTGAGAAGTTATGATTTTAGCTAAAATTGATGAATTAATTGATTTTGGTGTTTTCCATAGTAAACTCGATATTCATAACTTCTCACAGAGACGTCCAAACGGCGCAAACTTTTCACAGATCCAAGGGTAGGCCAAAACACATATGTACTGACGATTTCAGATTTTTCTGCGGCATTCCAGATTTTTGGTGAGCTAACTTAAAATGGTCAAAGCTTATATGGTCTTAGTTTTCCATTTTTATCTCCGCACCCAGTGTGAATCGCGACCTCCGCAAAACAGCATTTGAAAACGAAAGATTTACACTTTCTAATAAAAATATAAGGTGGTAAATCCGTTGTGACAGCGCAAAGTTATGATTTTTCAAAAATGAAACGACAGAACTTTCGGTACGACCTAATAATATTATCATTGTCAAAACTTACTTGCAGGCTCACTGAGAAGTACATCGGAAATTTGGCGCCTATTGTCCACTTTTAGAGAACGATGAAAAAGCCTGGAGAAAAATTTACGTGTGAAGCCTTTGTGTATATACGCCAATGAAGTTATTACTCACGTATTTTCACTGAAATAATAAGTGAAATAATAAATGAACTTTGATGATCGGTGCGCAGTCAAATTGCATTTTTTAAGAGGTATAAATTTTCTAAGCAGATGGCGGAATCCGTGTAAAGTCATTGAATGATTCCTTAAAGAGTCATTGTTCCAACTTTTAGTATCATTTCGAAACTCCGAAAGAGATCGTAACATTTTCTAGAAAAGCAGGTGCAACAGAGGCACCTATTACATCGAAGAGTTGGTGTAATCAGGGTTAGACTTACTGTCAAAATGTTATAGCTACGAGGATCGTGGAGTTCTACAATCCGCCTACTTGGACGATGATAGGGATGAGGAAAGCAGCCAGAGATGCATTTTTCCACCTTAAAGCACTATACAGGAGGAGAAAAGGACAATCGTATATGATCACTGCGTGATTATTCTGAGAAAAATTTTGTTTTCCATCGAAGAAGATTGAGAAATATAAAAGATCTTAGAAGGAGAACTCAGTCATAATTAGCCTAATCTTGTTTAGAAGTCTACTTTCCATCCGCTTTCAGAAAACATACAGCTTGCCAGGAAAAAGAGGGTTTTTCCTGCTAAATAGAAATAGTTTTAGTCATTTTTCCAAAATTGTAGAATTTTTCTATAAAAAATTGTAGATTTTTGATATGAGAAGATAAGAGAGTCTCTAGCCATACATTGAATTACTCTTGGAAAGCTTCCAGAAAATATATAGCTTACCAAGGAAGAAAGGATTTTCCTGCATTGTGAAGGTGGTCGCGATTGTTTTTCTAAAATTAAGGAAATTTTTTTTATAAAAAATCATAACTTTACTATACGAAAAGCTAGAAGAGTGCTTTGCACTCTATTGGAATCCCCTCGTCGTCCGCTTTCAGGAAATATATAGTTTGCCAGGAAAAAAGAGGATTTTCCTATCGGGTGAAAGGGGTCGCCGTCTATTTTCCGGATTTAAGCCAATTTTTAATTTTAAAAAATCATAACAAATTTATATGAGAAGCTGGGAGAGTGACTAGGTGTTTATCGAATTCCTCTCATCGTCCGCTTTCAGAAAATATATAGGTTGTAGGGAGAGGGATGCTAAAAGTACGTGGTGAAAGGGGAGGGAACATGTTGTAATGGGCATGTTCCTTTAGCTCCTTAAAACGACGCTTTTTGAGTACAGAAAGGAAGATTTCCATTACACCATGTTCCCTCCCCTTTCACCACGTACTTTTAGCATCCCTCTCCCTACAACCTATATATTTTCTGAAAGCGGACGACGAGAGGAATTCAATAAACACCTAGTCACTCTCCCAGCTTCTCATATAAATTTGTTATGATTTTTTAAAATTAAAAATTGGCTTAAATCCGGAAAATACACGGCGACCCCTTTCACCCGATAGGAAAATCCTCTTTTTTCCTGGCAAACTGTATATTTCCTGAAAGCGGACGACGAGGGGATTCCAATAGAGTGCAAAGCACTCTTCTAGCTTTTCGTATAGTAAAGTTATGATTTTTTATAAAAAAAATTTCCTTAATTTTAGAAAAACAATCGCGACCACCTTCACAATGCAGGAAAATCCTTTCTTCCTTGGTAAGCTATATAATTTCTGGAAGCTTTCAACAAGAGTAATTCAATGTATGGCTAGAGACTCTATTATCTTCTCATATCAAAAATCTACAATTTTTTATAGAAAAATTCTACAATTTTGGAAAAATGACCAAAACTATTTCTATTTAGCAGGAAAAACCCTCTTTTTCCTGGCAAGCTGTATGTTTTCTGAAAGCGGATGGAAAGTAGACTTCTAAACTAGAACAGGCTAATTATGACTGAGTTCTCCTTCTAAGATCTTTTATATTTCTCAATCTACTCGATGGAAAACAAAATTTTTTTCAGAATAATCACGCAGTGATCATATACGATTGTCCTTCTCCTCCTGTATAGTGCTTCAAGGTGGAAAAATGCATCTCTGGCTGCTTTCCTCATTCCTATCATCGTCCAAGTAGGCGGATTGTAGAACTCCACGATCCTCGTAGCTATAACATTTTGACAGTAAGTCTAACCTTGATTACACCAACTCTTCGATGTAATAGGTGCCTCTGTTGCACCTGCTTTTCTAGAAAATGTTACGATCTCTTTCGGAGTTTCGAAATGATACTAAAAGTTGGAACAATGACTCTTTAAGGAATCATTCAATGACTTTACACGGATTCCGCCATCTGCTTAGAAAATTTATACCTCTTAAAAAGAATGCAATTTAACTGCGCACCGATCGTCAAAGTTCATTTATTATTTCACTTATTATTTCAGCAAATACGTGAGTAATAACTTTACACAAAGGCTTCACACGTAAACTTTTCTCTAGGCTTTTTCATCGTTCTCTAGAAGTGAAAAATAGGCCGCAAATCTCCGATGTACTTCTTAGTGAGCCTGCAAATAGGTTTTTGATGATCATATTAATGATATTAGGAATTAAAATATTACTAAATTCAATTTTAATAATGTGGATAGTTTTATAATTTTGCTTCAAATGTTAATGTCTTAGTCTCACTTTCACTTCCTCATCGGCCGTGGGTGAAGGGGGGGGGGGGGGTCAGCTGGGTTCCGGCCCTGGGGTGAAGGGGGTAGGAACACATTATCGCCTTTTCACATGTATGAATATGGGATTTTTTGTTTTAGCAAGGTTTTTTAACAAGGCAGATTCAACGAACTGGGGTACGAAGAACACTATGCATGTGCTGTGCGACAAGGTCAAACATGTTGATCCTCTGATTTCAAATGGTAAATCTTGCATGATCAGGTAAACAGCACGTGTTAACTTGCCAATTATCGACGTGCAAAGCTACATTGACAAGTGAATACGAGAAGCAAGTTTGACAAGTGAATACGTGCTGTTTAAGGCTTCGGACAGACTTCACGCGATTTGATCGTCGCGACTGAATCGCGACGAGACAACTGTTACAACATCATTCCATGTCGTTCAACTTGCATTTCGGTTGTGAGACTTTTCCAGCCCGAAATTTTTGAATGTGAAATGAAAATGAATGGAAATGTCGGCGATTGAGTCGCGACGATCAAATCGCGTGAAGTCTGTCCGGAGCCTAAGGCGACTTAAAAGGGTGTTACAAATTGTGCCCTTTAACTCAAAGGGATTGGCGGCTGGAAGGCGAGCGCTCGCACCCGCGATGCAGTCTGCGTCTCTCTCCGAGAGTCTCGCTAATCATTCCCTAGCCCTGATTAGGCTTCGAAGTCCCTCCTTCCAGCCGCCAATCCCATTGAATCAAAAAGTATGTTCGGATGTAAAAGAGTGGCTATAAACTGCTGCGTGACAAAGGCGCGATATCTTTGGGCGCGAAAGCGGCTTTATTTACCGCAGAGCGCATGAGATGCGCGATAGACTGTGCAGGGTGGTCTCGATACCTTAGTCTTGAAATAGAAGATAAAGGCTACTGCATGACAAAGACGCAGGAGCAGTATTAGTCGAGCGGGCGCCGCAGTCGCGCCCGCTCGACTAATACTGCTCCTGCGTCTTTGTCATGCAGTAGCCTTTATCTTCTATTTCAAGACTAAGGTATCGAGACCACCTTGCACAGTCTACTTGATTGGACTTGTTCTCCCCTAGCTCCAAGTAGTGAATGATGCCAGATAAGATGTATCATCCATTCTAGGACTAGGAGACGCGAGACCGCTTTGCACACATTGCCTAAACAAGCTTAATCGTGTACTTAGCAGGTTTATACTTGTCATTTATCTCGCCCACGTTTATTCACTCTTTGGAAACAGGGAAGAACAAACCCAAACTTGTTAATACAATGTCCGCAATGCGGTCACGCGTCTCTTAGTCGTAGAATAGATCATATTACTAGTATAAACTTGTTGGTTACATGTTTAAGCTTGTCTAAACAATGCCTGCAAAGCGGCTTCGAGTTTCTTACTCTCAAAATGAATTACCCTCGATATCATCCCATATGTCTTCCCTCAACATGACGTGGATTACGTGGCTTGATGAGGCGCCGCCTCGCCTCGGGCTTGCGCCACGTTGCGTGCGCATCTTCGGCGTGATGTGACAACAAGAAGAACGTGGAAAAGCCTGCGCCACGTTGTGTTGAGCGCCACGTCGCGCCAAATGATGCGCTCGCAACGTGGCGCGAGGCCGAGGCGAGGCGGCGCCTCATCAAGCCACGTAATCCACGTCATGTTGAGGGAAGACATATGGGATGATATCGAGGGTACTTCTTCTGCGAAAAGCAAAAGCGTTCTGAAAGGAGATGCAAACAGAGACTAACAAACTAGTTCAATAAGATGCAAAGGAATCGAAACTGAAGAAAAAATGATGTTACAGGAACTCACATGGACTTTGGGACTCCCAGATGCATTCATCGAAACAGGAACTCCATCCCATCCTTTGCATTCAGTTAGCTTCAGACGTGAGTCGTTCGAGTAATAAGGTGAGTCATGAGTTTCTGATGGTAAGGCGCATCTAAACTGATAGCTAAATAGCTAAAATATTGAAAGCACTTGCAAAAATTGAAGAAAGAAAACGAAAGAAAAGAAAAAAGACGATGAAAAGGAGCGAAGAACAGTAAAAAAAAATAAAAACCATGCAGAGATAACTGACCGATAGGGCACTGGGACGGCGGCCAGAGTCCAACTGAGCGCATGCATCGAAACGATGATTGATGGAAGGCATACGAGAAAAAATTGAATCTTCTGGTACCTTGAAAACAAAGTGGGTTAGGGGCAAAAATTCAAAACTAATGAGTAATGGACTTACTTTCCAATCTCGCCCAAGTTGCTGAAAAGAAACTCGTCGAATTTCATTTTTGACTTCCACGAAGTCGCCGTCTCAGTGTGATCTGAAATAAGAAGTTACAATAAAAATAATATCATCTATAGTGCAATTGCCGCAAATGAGATAGATACCACAAACGAGAAAGACTGAGCGAGAAAAAAAAACAACAAAAAAATAATATAATTTGCACTCACTACTAATGACAGTCCATACTATTTCGCTTCTAATCGCGACGGTGGACGCAAGAATTTGCTAGTGAATTACATTTTGCAGTGAATTCCTGGCCATTTCAGCAGTTGCGGCTCCTATTCGCCGCCGGGCTTATATTGGTATGCGGGCGCAAAAACAGATCATGCACAGGAACGAGCTCCCATGCGCCGTTGTCATGCTCTACTGCCAATAACCGTTGGGTGCTTGCGACGCGTTGCGGCAGCGATAAATGCGATCCATGGAGTGACTGTCCCTTCGTTAGCGGAGTGCAGCAGCGATTTTTCGCAGATAAAATATAGTGTGGACCCCGGCCAGCTTCGGGTGGAGGACTATATGTCGCCGAATTTGGGAGAATCCCGCGCGGATTCCCTGCAGGAACGCATGTCCGCGCATGTACAAGAGTGCGTATTTGTCGCAAATGACCGCGGGGACCGCCCTTTTTCGGCGACATATAGTCCTCCACCCGCCAGCTTCCCATATGTACCTCCGCGCCGCAAACGCAGCGCATGCCTTCAGTGCTCTTTTCGTCAGGACCTATTGGTTTCTATGCGTTCCTCTCTTTATTGAGTTTGTTTTCTTCTATAATCTCTTTCTTTCAGGGTTAAACGAACCACACCAGCTGATGGTGACAAGTTTTTACGAGCCTCAAAAGTCTTGAGAGCTTCTATATCAAAAGCTCTCGTTTTTTTCCTCTGCAATGAGGATTAAGTATAGTTTGAAGAGATTTCTTCAGGGTTTCTATCACGGACTAGACGTATCTATTCGATTGAATTTGTTTTGTACAGAAACGTATCTATCCGACTGAGTTTGTTTTGTCTAAATCTTTTAGTTGCTTTTCAATGCGGCACTGCAGCTTCAGCTTGTATAATTACGCTCTCCACCTTATGCTTCTAGCTTTTCAATGATTGCAGAAAAGTAACGTTCCAAAAGTAATCCTCTTTCCGCTATTTCTACGATTTTCACCCATCAGTGGTAGTTTCATACTAGTAAGCATGAGAATGACAAAGAACCAAGTGTTAGTGGAGGTTGGAAGAGTTTTTTCTTCTGCTTAAGCTTTTCTGAAGGTGAGAATAGAGGGTTCCACTTCTTATCTCACTCCTATCTTAACTTAGAGATGATTTTTCGTTCATATGGAATAAGAAGAGTCAACAGTGCGCGCGTTGCATATGCGCTGCGGAGGTACATATGGGAACCTGGCCGGGGTCCACACTATATAAAGTAATTCTCAGGATGCAGCAAGATTGAGAGAGACAGTAGTGAAACGGTTCAGTGATATTTTCCGAAGCTTACGACTATACCAACCGCAGTTCCCTTTCATGCAAGACATTCGCCGCGCATCCGCCGCGCATTGGCTTTGCATGGCGATCCATGATCGATGTTTTTTTGTGCTTTTTTTGGATTTTGGATGCCCACGCAATGCGCTAGCGAGTGCAGTGCCTAGTGCGGTGGATCTGATGGGAAGTCGAGCCTATGCGACTAGATTTTCTTTTATAATCTGAGAGAATTGACGGCGAAAGTAGTGCGTTTGCGGTGAGGACAACACTTCCGCGTAAAAAACGATCAATATCCGCAAGATATAGGCAAAATGCAAGATATACGCCTTAGAAAGGGTTGGCACGCGCAAGTGTTGTCAGCACCTAGCTCCATAATAAGTGCGGAATCTAATGAGTTATGAACTCTTGCAAATAGAATTCGGTTTTTGTAAACGAAATAAGGAAATTGCATGCATAATGCAAGGAATGAAAGAAATAATCGTCTGAGAGAAGTCCTGATTTTGATAAACATTATTAGCGTTTTTGCATGATAATAAAATAGATTTGTCGGTGGTTTTCATGGTAATAAAATAATTAATGTCATTCAGAAATTTCTTCAAAAAATAGTAATGATTATTCTTATGCAGTTTATTGCACTATTCGAGCAAGGTCTGCAGGTGACAAGTCGCAAAAGATCAGTTGTCATCTCGAATTTTACAATAATTACATTTTTGCGGAGAAATAGAAGCAGGTTTCAAATTGTCGATGTGTTGATACCCGAAAACATTGAGAAAGTCGAATTGCTCATAAAAGTGGTAGATGACCAATGTGAATCAACCCAAGCGCTTTTCTCAAACACTTGAACTTTTCGAGTGGTCACGAAGAAGGTTTCATATTGTAAAAAGACAAGTGCACGCGTAGTTGTTTGGAGCCGTGGTCAAGGAAAAAGGCAAATCTTCTGAGCAAACTATTTTCACAGTTTTCCTTCAAAGTTTTGAATCAATTTGATTGTCAGAAGGAGGATAAAACTTTATCAAATTGTAATTCTTTGGGTCTGATGAGAGTATTTTGGATTATTTTTTCGCCAATCTTTAGCTTATATTCTCACATTCCTTTTACTTTGCAACAATGATGGATCTCAAAAGACGTTGTACCCTTTGATTCAACTGGCTTGGGTCCTGAAAGGCGGGGCTTCGTGACCTAGTTGAGGCTATGTGATGATCAGAGAGCACGCGCGCAGAAGAGAAGAGACGCAGTCTGCAAGCGGCTTTAATTAGGTCACAAAGCCCCGCCTTCCAGAAGTCAAGCTAGTTGAATCAATGGTTAAACTAATTTCATTGCTACTATAATTATAGAAGAGTCCTGAGAAATTCTTTCTAAAATTGCGTGAATTGTGATTATTTTCGAAAAACTTTTACAGCAAATAAAGAACTCCCACATCCATCAGCAACAAGGATTTGCTATCAGATTCCAAGAAAAATCCTGCGATGAAAAACAATCCATGTATATTTTAACAAGAAATCTTCAAAAGCTCTCACTTTCCGTTTTGTTTGATTAAGTAAAAGTTCGCTGCACTTGAACAAATTTTTATAAATTGTTCTAGCTTCACGAGTCAATGCTAAGAAATTTAGAATCAAATGTAGTAGTCCCAACTTTCGAGAGAACTGTCAAGTATTCAGAAGCTAGCAGCATGCAAAAAAAAGATTGTGCCGAAAATTAGCCTAATCGTGTGAAAAGAGAATTTCTCAGGCATTTCAGGCCCTGAATGCTAGAAATGCAGTAGCAATACGAATTTTGGAGTTGTCTCAAGGAAAAATGAGCTGGTTGTACCAGTAACAAAAAATTTCAATGCTGTATTATAAATTCGACTAATTTATGCTCAATATCTCATTTAACGCAAACCGTCTCCTGCCTAAAAATGACTGAATTCCTTCTCTTCGATATTTTGTTTTAATATGCCGCCACATATCATCGAATTTTGACGTTTAAAAAATGAAATGCGAGATCAAGAACAAGTCGCAAAGTGAAATATCCAAAAATCGACCTTCGATTTACAAGTGCCTAAATGGATATCTGTACAATCGATAAAAATGACGAATACAATTTCGGAGCAGCAAGAGCTTCCGTAATTGAGCTTGTTTTAGTATGCTATGTTTGGTAATTGTGCTTATTGAAGTAAAAGAATTATTAGTCCTATTGTGTGGAGAACATGCTGATTGCAAATGGGATTAATTTGCTTTGATAGTCACCAAGGGTAAAAGCAGTTATTACTTAGATTTGGAACATTCTGTCATCATCACATAGCCATACGCATGACAAAGAAACCAAACTTGAAGAAAGTCAAAGGAAGCAAATTTTGGCGAAATTTCTCAGAAAAGACAACTAAGTGCTTAAATAGGTGATCCTTGAGCACTTTGTCCGTAGACAAGTGGAGAAGACCGCTTTTTTGAAAAGTGATCGATGCCTGCTGAGCAACTTTATTTATAATGATTATGGCTGACCAAGAAGTGTTCTTCTCCCACCCACCCACCTAGTTAAATTATGCCTTTTTTCAAGATGAATCAATCTTTTAGATTGAATCTCGATAAACAATAGATCATGGCAGATTCTTTTTCGTTCGTAAAAGATTGAAGAGAAGGATAAGATTTCAACAATGTTGAAAAGGCGAGTCCATTTATCATATTTTTGAAGATGTACGTTTTGAACAAAAATGCAAGCATACTGAACAGATATTGACATATCAAAATTAATAAGTAGAAAAAGGAATGCATTTCACTCAATTCTGCGAAATTCATCGGTTCCAAACATACAACAAATGCACATAATAACAGATGCTGAGGATAGAAAAGAAAGTGAATGAGTTTTTCAAGCAGATGTACGCATAGACTCATAGACTGAGAGCAAGAAAACAAGAAAATTCAACTTCACATTGTAAAAGAAGAGGTGAATTCGAAGAGAAAACACAATGAACGATAGAATATTCAAAATGGAACAAAAAACCAGTTATAATCATAGAGGGGAATGAGTGGGTCCCATTACTATTTTTATGTTTACGTCAAAATCATTTTGATTATGGATATGCGGAAATAAATTCATTCTCTCTAGCATATTTTCTGTTTGGAAATATTTCCGTTGAAGCATGAAAATGGTATTGAAAATTTCACATATGATAAAGGTAAAGATAGTTGGCAAAAAAGATTTATTAATACAAGTAGACAAATTCAGGAAAGTTGGGTTGCAGAAAAAAATGATTCCTTATACCACTCCTCCCCTTCAAGAGAAGAACAATTTGAATACTGAAGCTGATCAATTTGATTTTTTTCTTCATTTTTGTCATGGAAAAAAGTATGGAATTACTTTGAATTTTAGACTTGTTTAGCTCGAAGGAAAAAGTGAAGTAATTACAAATGCTGGAATAAATTTTCCCTTTCATTCCCACAAGTGGAAGGTGTATGGAAAAAATATGAAGTAAGAAGAAATTTTTCTTTGCATTACTACTGCACGGGGAAAAAGGGAAATGTATAATATTTAAGTAATTGGGAATCTAGTATATAAAGAATCGTAACGCCAATTCAAAAAACATCAGATAGTGGGAAACCGCGGTGCGGTCCCGAAGCGCGCGGTTGCAATCTAGCACCTCTAATAATCGGTTCACTATAGTAGTACAAGCAAATTTTCTGTTTCATTCGGTTTTTAAGGTTATTCGAACTGAGCAGTAATAAAAACAGATTTTCATTTTTATTTCTCACACATAAAGACGTTTTGTTAGCTGCGATATCAAAACAAATTCTCTATTTTGTCCTATCGGTATAGAAAATGTACGCAAATTCCCCGTTTCATCCTTACGTTAAGATAGAGGGAAATTGTGATGGGCGATTTTCTCTTGACTCGTCCGTAGGATTGATAGATTACGAAGCAGATAAGTAAGTAAAGAGATGTTCCTAAGGTTCTGGATTGCTGAATGCATGCTGAGTCTGGCTATGGTGAAAAGGAAATAAACTAGATCCAAGTGCAGGAGAACTGCTCTTTTCCAAGCGGCGCGTCACTGCCACGACCAGATTTCTAAACAAAGGACACACAGTGCGCATGCGTGGGCCCTGCGTCGACGTTTCCAGCCGGCAATTCGAGCCGAAGAGCAGAAATTGAATCGATCTGCCTGATGACGCGGATATGCGAAGGAGACGTCGGTGCCTATTCAACGGATTTTTCCAACGGTGTCAAGTCGTTCTCATGAGCTATGCTCACAATGGAATATTGATATCGCTGAGTAATTCTAGAAAAAATTCGTTTTCCACGTCCGAATATCAATTTCTTACAGTTGTCTGAAGAAAAAATTTAACATGTACAGAAAATGTCCAATACCAATGAACTCCGCGATATAAGAGAATTGTAGATCCTACTTTATTTGCGAAGCTTGCCTAAGCAAAAATCTCAAAATTTTCACTTTTTTAACTAAATTTAAAAAATGAAATTTTTAAGAACTAGTTTTTCAAGATTATGTCCCTATACTATTCATATCAAGTCCACCGTGTAGCAAGCACAAATACAAAAAATAACCTAAGATTTGGTAATTGAATGTGAAATAGGATCTACTCGCAAAGTACACCCAAAAATAACCAGCATAATATTTCCTTCACCACAAATTGAAAAATTACTAGTTACACGCTACTGTGACCAAAATCTAAGAAGGCTTGTTTTTGAACTTATATGGAGGCAATTTCCAAGCACAATAGTTCTACATACAAATTTTCAATTACTTAGTCGTAACTTCGAGTTTCCCCTCCGTTCTGCGCTGCACAACTGTAACAACTGTAACAGCGAAAAAAAAATCGAAAAAGTGACTGCTCTGCCTCCCCCTCCCCTTCCAATTGCCAAATTTTGTAGTGTACTTGTTGCGATGATTTATGTCATGTGAAAAGTCTTAGTTCCCCTATTGATATCTTCAACGTGCAACTTGCACACTTTCAAAATACTTGCAATTTCTTGTTCATTTCCAAATTGGCTAATTTCAGGAATTATTATTTCATCATTGTCCCCTCCGCGGCAAAGCATTGGTCGACACACTCACCCAAACATAGCAGAAATTAGCATTGTAGAGGCTACGAACTTGTACTTCG